TTTTCTAGTAGATGAAAGCAAACATTTAAAAAGTACATGGCAAGATGCATGAGTCATGACAAGGACTAAATAAATCTTAATCATCATCAGAGCAATGATTTCTACCCTATATACCAGGCACAATGGACAGACTTCAACAAGCACTACTTCGGCAGTCTCCAGGTAATCTCTTCAGCCTCATGTTGCTTTCTGTTTCTCCAAAGGAGATCTTAGCTGGAGGGATCACTTGTAAAAGAGATAGAAGTGGTCCAAGATAAATGGAGAAGAACAGAGCATCCATCAGTCCTCCATGTCTGTTTTCTCACGGACAACAGGGACACCCCTGCAGTTTGGGGGCAGGGCGCAAGCGGGGCAAGGCCCTTCCGTCCAGCAGTTGGTGCATGAGTAACTGGATTTCCCAATAGAACAAAGCTAACCACTGACTCACTGCAGGCACAGAATTCTAGGTTCACCCTAGATCTTATGGGGAAAACAAAGACTATTTTAAAGAGTTATTTATTTACTTATTGGAAAGGCAGAGTGACACACAGAGAGAGAATGGGGCGGGGGGGCGTCTTCCATTTGTTGGTTTATTCCCCAAATGGCCATAACAGCCAGAGCTGGCCCAGGCTGACATCAGGAGCCAAGAGCCTCTTCTGGATCTTCTATGCAGATGCAGGGGCCCAAGTACTTGGGCCACCTTTCACTGCTTTCCCAGGAGATTAGCAGGGCATTGAATCAGAAGCAGAGCAATTGGGACTACAACTGGCACCCAAAGGGATGCTGGGGGGAGGGGATGGCACTTAGGCCCACTAGGCCACAGTGCTGGCCCCTGGAAAGTTCTTGACTCTGACCTTAATGGCAGAGTGACCAGGTGAGGACTTGTGAAGTGGCACATGGGGTCATGCACAGGACTGGGTCTTTGCTTCCTGGGAGATGCAGATGGAATCTGGGCTTGTGACTATGGCCCAGCCCAGCCCTGGTTGTTGTAGGGAGTGAACCACCATAGGAGAGATCTGGCTACCTTTTAAACACAATAAATATTTTTCCCTAAACAGGAAATGAAACGGGGGCATGATGGAGGTGGGACTGAGTTCCTTCGTTTCAGCAGGGTAGGGACTCTGGGAATCAGAGCAGTAAAAGGCTGGGATCTGATCCTTATTTCAATCTGCTGACTTGTTCATTACAATTTTTTTTTTAATACTACGTTCTTCATACTTGCATCTCTGAGTTTATAGGTGTCCTTTTACAGGCAAGGTGCGTGTTGCACCTGCTTGAGTGCTAGTCCCTGTTCCTTGCACCTGAGCAGGCTTCATCTGGGCAGAACTCGCCTTGGTGTCAAGTGGGGTGGGGCTGCCCCAGGTCAGGCAGGGCTGTCGCAGGTACAGAGCTCCCAACATGTCTCATAGCTCAGACCACTAAACAAAGGCACTTGTTGCAGGGGCAAAGACCGCTGCCAGGATTTCATCATCAACCACCCCCTTCAGGCAGAGGACAATGATTTATACGATGCCATCGCTCTGGGCCTCCAGCAGATCCGTCTGGGCCTGGAAACTGCACCTGCCACAGTGGCCCCCACCATGGTCCCAAACAAGGCTGCCAGGCCCTGCCCCACCCCAGAGCCTCAAGCCTCCTCTATTTTTTCAAAGAGGAGCATGGAAAGGAGTCACCAGATCTTCTCCAAGGAGGAAAGCACAGAGGTGAGATGGGGAGCCTGGGCTACCGGGGAGGTAGGTGCTCTGCCCCACGGCCAGGTCACGAGAGGGGCAGCCTGACCTGCGAAGCCCCCAATGGATTCACTACACCATGACCCTGCCTCTGGTCAGCCAGACTTGGTATAAGCCTTGAGCCTGGCCATTTTCTAAGCTTTGTTACTTTGGCCAAGCGATGCAGTCTCTTTTAGGCCTCAGTTTACCACTTCTGAGGCTGCTGCTTGGCTTGCATGGCAGAACCGCCATGAACAGCCTGAAAATCTAGCACACTGTAGTTAGGAGCACCTGGGGGGTCAAACCTTTATTCTTCCTCACGGCACCCCATGGGAGGGCTCAGGCAGATTTTTCTTACTGTATAGCAGGTCACAGCATGCTGTTTTCTTACTGAATAGCAGGCTAAGGACTATGCTTTCCATAGTAGGAACTGTGAACTGACTGGTACTTCCACAAGATACATTAGCATAGTGCAGAGACCACCAGGAGAGACAGGGCAATGTGTCGCCCATTCCCCCGGATCAGAATCCGAGCTCCCACGAGTTGCTCTTATTCATGGCCAGATCCCCGACACACGTAGGACCTAGCACACAGCTGCATTCACATGATAGTGGATGGGTGCAAGGTGGACTTGGGGTGGGCCATTCTGGAAGTGGCAGAGCAGCGAGTGGGTGGTCTCAGGGTGGGACTCTGAGGGACCACACTGGAGCTGGGAGGAGGAGCAAGGCAAAAGTGAGCTTGGGAAGGAGGCAGAGGCCTTGAATGCCAAGGTCAAGGCTATACTCAGAGTGTGAGAGCAGGCAGGGTGTAATGTCCCATATGCATCAGGCAAACAAAGGCTGAGATAGGGGTTAGCTTGTCTGAGTTCAGTTACCTGACACACCATACTCTCCCTCCCTTTCTCCCCAGGACCCCACCACAGTGCCCTCTGTCCCTGAGAAGGGGACCTCCCTCCTGGCTCAGACCCTGGGAGGTCCCAGTGGCATCACCTACGAGGACCTGAAGAAGAAAGAGCAGGTGCAGCCAGGGTCTGGCCACAGACACACTCCATAGACAGGGGCCCCTGCCAACTGGCAGCCAGCTCTGCTCCCCAGGCAGGAATCTCCCAAGGAGATGCCCCAACTTGGACCAACATGTGTCTGATGGCTCTGGGGTGACCTTGGATCAGGACCCTGCTGCGGCGGTATCTCCCACTTCCCGGCAGCGGCTCCTCCTCCCATTCCACGATTCCAAGGCTCCACCCTGTGCCAGCACTTGCCTTGTAGAGACCTACAAGTTCACCTTAGGAAGGTTGAGACTCCCGCAGGTGGCCAAGGGCACACCCAGCCCAGAGGGTGAGCAGATGCTAATATGCTGGATGTGGTGTCCACCAGGCCTCCACATCCTACAGCAAGCAGTTGGGGTCCAAGAACTGTGGCTATGAGACGACCCCAAGGGTCACTCCAGAGCCTGGCAACACCTACAAGCAAATCCCAACTCCCAAGAGCAGGGAGACCAGATGGAGCAAGAAGGTGAGCTGGCAATGGGGCAAGGTGTGTGCAGCTGCCCTCTCTTAGGTAGCACCCGGCAGGAGTGGGGCCTGGGCCATGAGGCACGACCCTGGGGGATGCAGGAATGGCAGCTGCTGGCTTAGGGGTAGAGAAGGGGCATGACCACTCCCTGACCTTGGGGCTTAGAATAGCGAGCCCTCACGCGTGTCACTGCCCCTGAGGTTCAGATGGACAGCAGATACCTGCTCAGCATCTACCTGACCTTCCCACCAAACCAGGCATCTGGTATGCTGCCATGGCAACCCGACACCAGGCCTCCCTCTCCACACCTGTCGGATGGGCTGATGCTCTGATAGGGCTGGAGGCAGCTGCTCATGGGACCACAGGGCCACCTACAGGGCAGCAGGTGAACACTACTGCAAGTTCCCTATCAGACCAGAGGGTGGGAACAAAGAGGGAGAGTGGACATGCTTAGGGGTGAGGAAGGCAGAGGGATGTTGGACTCTCAGCACACTCTGCCCGTCGCTAGGGACAATGGTGCTGGGCAGCCCCTTCCCTTCCCTGTGGGCTCAAACTGAACACCTCGAAAGCCACATTCCACCACTGCTCAGCCCTGCTGGCTGCCCTCTCACCCTGGGCACAACCCCTAGCCCATGTCATGAGGGCATTGAAGCACCCCCACTTCCAGCTGAGCTAGAGAACTCTGAAGGTTGGAGAGACATTCCTGAGAAATAAGAGGAAGGGCTCAGCCTTTATTTCCTGTGTCTTGTTAGCCAAAGGAGGGTGAATCCTCACCCAAACCCACAGAGCTGAAGGCGGTCCCCTTGGGCACCTGGGAGGTCTGCAGGAACAGCCACCCACACTGTTCTCTGAGCCAGGGTCGTGGCCTCTGGGTCCACGGCTCCCCAGGCCCAGCAGCACCCCCTCCCCCCGGCAGCCTGACAAGTTCTGAAGGTTCTTCTTGGCCGATAAGAAGCACAAATGCAGAGCAGTGCCCACAGCTCACCTGCAGGATGTCCCTGCCACCTCATCCACTAAGGAACCAGCTCAGACATACAAATCAAGACCTGATGCTGAAGGGGGCCTTCCAGCATCCCGTGTCCTGCTTTCCCTGTGTCTCCCACACAAAGGAAAACACCCAAGCTGGACAGAGTGGGGCCTGGCCAGAGGTAGTGGGCAGCAGTCCCATCTCTTAGGCATGCTGAGGCCCCGGCACTAACCAACCCAGACCTGCCACCACTGACCCTCATCCAAGCACAGGACAGGACCCACGCAGGGACTGTCAGCTCCCTAACTGGCTGTCCTGGTCTGCCTTCTCGGCTCCAGTGCCATGGGGATTGGCAGCACTCTGTCAGTGAACCACACAGCTTCCTAAGGTGTAGCTGGAGGTCTCCTGGCACACAGGACAGACGCAGAGAGCAAGTGTGGGACATGCTAGCATTTTACTACCCGAGTTCCCATGCCTGGGACCAGTATGTGTCCGGAGCAATCCACACAGCTGCACTTACACAGCTGCACGCTGGGAAGGGGTTGGGGCGGGGAACAGGCAGGGTTGGGCTGCAGCCCAGCCTCGGGTTTTGAATGCAGATTGCATAGCTTGGTGAGACCCCGACTATTTTTTTTTTTTTTTTTTTTGCACCTTGTCCTGGGCGGCAGCTGGGGGTCATCTGGCCAGCATAGCACAGTCTGTCACCTCTGTTAGCTGTCACCCTCCCAGGGGTGACATTTCTGGGTGGGGAGTGGATTGGAGTACAAAGGTGGTTAGGAGAGTCCCTGGGAAGGTACTTCTCCAGTCCCCTCTTCCCTGGTTAGGTTTTTTTTTGAGGGGGATTTTTGCTTTGTTTTTGCTGAAAGGGCCACAGGAAATGTTCATAGGTGTAGACTCCCCAGAGGCCCAGGCTGCTTTTCCATGGAGCTGGGAGCCATCCTCTCGTGCACATAGCAGGGCTGGTACACACCCTGGGCCACCTGTGTCAGCCAGCTGAGTCCTCAGATGCGGATGTGGAAGGTGCTGGAAAGAGAGAGAGAGAGCAAGTGAGCAGGCCTGGGCTGTACAGGTCAAGGCTCCTGGTTGAGAGCTGAGCAGGGACCCAGGCGCCATAGCCTGGTAGGGAAGAGCACACACCAGCAGTTTCAAGGGGGGAGGGAGAACGGACCGTCCAGGGGTTCAGCTCTCCATCCTCCCCCCCCATCATCATCACACCGGGAAGCCCTTAGGATTGTCAGGAAGCTGGGCCTGGCACGTGACAACCCATGCTTCCTGTCGTACACGCCACTGCTCACAACAGGCAGGGGGGCGGGGGAGGCTGCCTGGCCATGGCCCCACCTGCAGTGCCTGGGCGGGGGGCGGGGGAGGCAGGACCTGAGGAAGTCGGGGGCCTTGGCGATCATGTCCTCAAAGTCGGCGAAGCCCAGCTTGCCATCACCATCCAGGTCGGCCTCCTCGATGACCTTGTCACACACCAGCACCACCTCGTCCTCATCCAGCTCTGACTTGGTGAGCCGTGCCAGTGTCAGCTCCAGGTCCTCCTTGCAGATGAAGTTGTCTGTGTTGAAATCTGCCAGGCCGCCAGAGAGAGAGAGAGAGAGAGAGACAGATACACTGAAGCGGGGCATGGGGTCTCCCCCACGACCCCCCTGGGAATTCTTGCCCTCTGCTTACTTCTTCCCCACCCCCTCCAGCTCCCTGACTCCTGCCAGCCTCTGGAGTCCCCCAGAGTAACTCCAGGCACAGTCTGCAGCAAGGGGGGGCACTGGCTCCTCATCCCCAGATAACAGGCAGGAAAGGGGGGGACTCTGCATGTTCACAGCACCCCCATACCTCGCAATGCACTGGATGTACAGCCACACCCCCAAAACAGGCCTCAAAGCTGGGGCTCCCTGGGAACTGTGAGTTCAGGCCACAGAATCCTTTTGTCCTTGGGTACTTCCAGAACAAAGGAGAGCAATGCCCCAGGAAGGCCGGGGTTTGGGGGACACTGCAGAGCCAGCCATGTTCCACATCCAGCCAGAGGTGCAGCCACCTTCTGCAGGGCACAGCATGGAGGTGCAGACCCATGGGTACTGTCACAGCCACCCCAGCACTCAGCCTAGCTACCCGGCCTCCCTTGGCACAGGCTCTGCCATCTGCCTGGGGCATCCTTCACAGCCAGCTCCTGTTGAGAGTCAGCCCTGAGCTGCAACACCAGCTCCCAGGGCTGGGAACCTCCTGGATATAGATTCCCCACCCCGCCTCTGCTGGCTCACCGGGCAAGCTGTGCAACGGTACTGGGCCATGTGAGTGGTCACTCTCAAAGCCAAAGTCATCAGGCGGAACATCCACAACCCCCACCACATGGACAGAGAAGAGGGGTAGTTGGAAAGGTTGCCTGAGACCGCACACCCAGCCCGAGCCCTCCTCAGTATTACTGCTGCAGGCTCAAGTGCCCACCTCTCATGATGGGTCTCTGCCCTGGCCAGAGGCCTCAGAAACACCTGCTGGCCACCAGGTTCCCAAGACCCCAACTGCCTTTTCCCTATCCCAACCCCCCAGTCTGGGGCAGCAAGCTGGAAGCATGGGGCAGGGGGAATTGGGGATCTCCTTCCTATGCTCTTATCCTGACCGTATGCTCTGGGCTCCCCATCTCCAGCAGGTGACAGCCCCTCCCAGGAGTACCAGCGCAGCGGCATGCACACCTGAGTCTCAGCCAAATGGTCTGAGATAAGAAAATGGAAAGACAGAGCTGGGGGTGCCCTGGCAGCTGGAGGTGCCCAGGACAGCTTTGCACCCCAGCTCCTCTAGCCCACAATGGTGGCCTCGGCGTCCCCACAGGCTGGACAGGCTTTCAGTGGCTGACGCACCCTTCGGCTGTGGAAGACACGTGGTACCTGGCGCCCTCTGGTGGCTGGTGAGACGACAGCCTGAGGGTTGACTGGGGGATGGGGAGGAGAGTAACCGGGATGTCCATTCCCACCAGCAAGCTCTGGGGACTCGTTACCGTAGATCTTGAAGGCATAGTTGGCTTTCAGCTCCCGGGGCGCCGACTCACACAGCACGGAAAACATGTCCACGAAGTCGTTGAAGGTGAGGTTGCCATCGCCATCCTCAGAGAAGGCTTCCACAATCCTCTCCTTAAAGGGATTCTCCTGCGGGGAAACGGCCATGACCATCGCCCAGTGCCGCAAGCCAGCACAGCCCTGGGCCAGAGGTCCAGGCCATTCTGAGCCTCCACTTCCCTGCCTGGAAAATGGGCATGGCCGTCACACACCAACTAACTGGGGTTGGGGGCGGCTCTTAGAGGGGTCAGGGAGCTTGAGTACGAAGGTGGGGGTATGACGCTAGTGTAGCCATTGTTATCACATCATGTCATACCACACCATGTTGCATCACATCACATCATGTCACATCACATTGCTTTATCATACCATGTCACATCATGTCATATTATACCAGGTCACGCCACAGCACATCATGTGATACCACCCAGATATGCAGGTTGTGTAGAGCCCCTCACCCCCAAGGGACTCTGCAGGTACTGCCTCATTTGAGTCATGAGGTGCCAGAGGTGGAAGGGTTAGTCCCATGGCCCAGAGCAGCACACACAGGGGTTCCCATGCGCAGGACTCTGTCCCCAGGAAGGGAGGTGACAGCCCCAGGCCCAGGCAGCTGTCAGTTCAGGCCATGTCTGGACAGAACCACAGGCAGAAGGCGCGTCCCTAGGGGCCCAGTAAGTTGACCAAGACATGCAGCAAGGGCCACAGGGCAGGGCAGGTGCCAGGCAGGCATCCACCAGCTTCTTCCTCCCACATCATGGCTCTCGGTCCAGCTCGGGGACAAAGCCCAAGATTCCTGCTCACGAGGGCCTCACGGCCTCTGGTGGCCCTCTTGAGCCTGGCCTCCACGCCCTCTCCTAACCAGGCAAGCAGGGGCCTGTAAAGGGCTGAGCCCGGAGGGTCCAGAACTGAGCCCGGGTGCTCCGTGACTCCGGGAACTGAGGTCACAGGGCACCCACCCACATGCAGGTGAGCACTTGCAGGTGCCCAGCCTGGCTCATACCCGCAGCTCCGGCATCTGGATGATGAGGCTCATGGGCACGTGCACGATGGGGCTCTTCCTGTAGTCCATGGGCACCAGGTTGGGGGCCAGCTCGTAGAACCGTGCGTGCAACCTGGAGGGGGAGGGTTAGAAAGAAAAGGGGAAAAAAAGCGCTGGTAGGGGGTATGGCCCAGGTGAGGGAGACACCTGCTCCTTTGGGGGCCTGGAACCTAACACTGGCTCCCTTGAAAGTCCCTGCTTCTCCTCACTCAAGTGCCCACTGTCCTGGCAACAGACCCTAACCTAGAAACTGTCTCTAGTTTCTACTCCCACACACCATATCAGAATGTCAGTTTAAGTCCTGGCTACTCTGCTGCTGATCCGGCTCTCTGCTAACATGACTAGGAAAGCAACAAGGGATGGCCTAAGTACTTGGGCCCCTGCACCCACAGGAGAGTCCTGGAAGAAGCTTTTGACTCCTGGTTTCAGTCTGGTCCAGCCATGACTGAATGAGACCATTTGCGGCCGCAACAGCAGATGGAGGACCTTTCCTTCTCTCTCGTTCTACCTTTCAAATAAATAAGTAAGTACTTATTATTTTTTTTTAAAGTTATGCATCATCTGTTAATGCAGGTGGTCCCTGGGAAGGGGGAGAAGAGAGGGATGACAAATTAGGGACTAACTTTTACTTATTACTTTGTTTCTGAATTGTTTAAAACGATTCAAAAAGATCACTGAGTTTCAAACAAACGTAACTTGGTTTTTAAAATTAAAACGTGAAAGTCTTAGTAGAACAGAAACAAAGGAATGTTCTGCTTAACCCTGTACACGAACACGGGTCCCAAGTCTTGCAGGCAGCATGCCACTCGGCCAGATGGACAGGCCACGTCTAGCTCACTGTCCCTACACTGCGGCCAACAGGGACAGCTCCCACCTCAGCGGCTCTGAGCAGCTGCCTGTGAGCAGAGGCGCACCATGTCTCTGCTGTCCAGTCCGCCTGGAATTCTATCCCCAGCCAGAATCATTGGCTCAGATGACGATTCCATTTTCAATTTTCACAGAAGATTTTTTTTAATCTTTATTTGAAAGATAATTACAGAGAGGAGAGACACAGAGAAAAAGATCTTTCATCTGCTGGTTCATTCCCCAAATAGCTACAACGGCCAGAACTGAGCCAAAATGAAGCCAGGAGCTTCTTCCAGGTTTCCCATGCGGGTTGAGGGTCCCGAGCACTTGGGCCATCCTCTGCTATTTTCTTAGATGCATTAGCAGGGAGTTGAATCAGAAGTGGAGCAGCTGGAACTTGAACCTGGGCCTATATAGACTGCTAGCACTGCGGGCAGAAGGTTAACCTACAATACCAGGAAACTGACACCCTCTGTTTAATTTCTTTTAGACTCCACTACATTTTTTATAGCTCTCCTACTTATTTTTTAAAAAAAAAAGATTTATTTTTTATTGTAAAGTCAGATATACAGAGAGGAGGAGAGACAGAGAGGAAGATCTTCTGTCCCATGTTTCACTCCCTAGGCGGCAGCAACGCCTGGAGTCGAGTCAATCTGAAGCCAGGAGCCAGGAGCTTCTTCTGGGTCTCCCACGTGGGTGCAGGGTCCCAAGGCTTTGGGCCGTCCTCGACTGCTTTCCCAGACCACAAGTAGGGAGCTGGATGGGAAGTGGGGCCGCCAGGATACGAACCAGCGCCCATATGGGATCCTGGCACGTTCAAGGCGAGTTTAACTGCTAAGCCACGATGCCGGGCCCGCTCCTACTTATTTTTACAGTTTGTCCTTACTAAGAAAAAGCAACTTCAAGTGTATGACAATTCAACACGTTCTGACTTTTTGATAAACCCATACATGAAAAAAATGCTGGGGCAGGCATGTGGCCCAGCAGTTCAGTCACTGCTTGGAATGCCCACACAGTGCCTGGGTTCAAGTCCCAGCTCTGCTCCTGACTCCAGCTTCCTGTTAGTGTGTGCCCTGGGGGGCAGCAGTGATGGCTCAAGCAGTGGAGTCTTCTGTTGCCTCCAGGGAGACCCGGATGGAGTCCCCACCTTCTGGCTTTGGCCTCATCCAGACCTTGCTGTTGTGGGCATTTGGGGGAATAAACCAGTGGATGTAAACTCTTTTTTCCCTGTCTCTTTCAAGTAAGTAAACTTTAAAATAAAATAAGTAAAAATGCTTAAGCAAGATACCAGCACAAAAATTACCAAAAGCTTAGCAGGCATTATATCTAGGTGGCAGGATTATAGGCCCTAATTGCGGTGTGTGTGTGTGTGTGTGTGTGTGTGGTAGTGGTGGTGTTTTTCCTTTAGCTGGCTTTATTTTTAAATTTTTGTACAAACATCATGTATTACAGGTGTAATTAAAAGTGATTCCATAATGGGGGCAGGTAATATGGCTAAAGAGGCTAATACTCCACCTGCAAGCACTTGCATCCCATATGGACACTGACTAGTGTCCCAGAGGCTCTACTTCCAATACAGATCCCTGATTTGGGCCTGGGAAAGCAGTCAAGTATGGCCCAAGTCCTTGCGACCCTGCACCCTTGTGTGTGGGAGACCTAGAGGAAACTCCTGGCTCCTGCCTTTGGATCAGCTCAGCCTCAGCCATGGCAGCCATTTGAGGAATGAACCAGTGGATGGAAAATCTTTCTGTCTCTCCTCTCCATAAATCTGCCTTTCCAATAAAAATTAGTTTCTTTTTAAAATATAGCAAAAAGTTAAAAAAAAAAAAAAAACAACGAGAAAATAAACAATAAGGTTAACCAACAGGCAAACACTTGGGACACTGGCTAGCTGGGCCTCTCATTCCGGAGGACAAAGGCTGCATTCTGGCTGGAGAACAAAATCTTATACTGGTAGGCAGGGGGTCAGGGGTGGGGAAGGTGCTGAGTGGACACGAGGGGAAGGGGCTGAGTGGACGCACTGAGCTCCCGCCTACAGAGAGCAGGTGGATGTACCGGCCCACACAGGCTCAATGTAGGGGGTGCAAAAACTGCGCCCAGGGAAGTAACTAGATCTGCCGGGAGGAGGAATGAGGGACGGTCCCTGGGTTACCTGTGACTGGTATCATTGTCCCGCTCAAGTTTCCTCCTGACCAGCTGCAGGTGCAGGCAGCTCCAGTGGGGAGGGAGAGGCCCAGCTGCTGCCTCTGGCAGGTCTTTGTGTCTTGGTCTCTCTGGGCTTTAGACCCCAAACTCTGCTCCCTGTCCCTGAGCCAGGGCTGGGGCCAGGGGCCCCCTTGGAGGGAGGTGATGTGCAGTCATCCAGGCCACTACCCACTGAAGCTTGATCAGCAGGCCAGAGAAGGCCACGGGGCTGAGTGTGGGATGAGCTATGATGGCCACACCTGGCTCCTCCACGGGTGCTGTTCTTCCACTCTGGGTTACTCTGGCTGCCAGTGTGGCCACTGGAAGCGCTGAGGGTGCCACGTGGCAGGGACTGGGTCCAGAGCTCTTCTCTGCACAGCAAAGGTCTGGTCCCTGGGATTTCTATGATTGCCAATCCAGAGGTGGAGCCTGCATGAACCAGTGTGGGCCAGGATAGGGCTTCAAGAAGCAGTGTCCACCTGCCTTCAGGAGCCCAGTCCCCCCCTTTGCAAGACCTCAGGTTTGGCCTCGGTTCCAGTATTGAGCTCAGAGCATGGGTGCGGGCGGTGCTGAAGGGACAAAGTCCAGCAGGTCAGGGCCGTAGGAGAGCCCCTCAGATACACTCCAAGGCCTCTTATACTGGATCAGACTCCTGGCCTGACCACTGAGCCACTCCCCTCACTGGTGTGCCAACCTGCGGAGCATGGCACAAGGACACAATCCTGCTTCCCCAAGGGTCTCCCTGAGGCTGGCACAGCTGCTCACCCTGCCCTCCTTCATCCACCTGCTCTGTGCAGCTTGCCAGTGCCTTACAGGTGCCAAGTCTAATGACAGCTACATGGGAAGGCTCCATCCTTGTCTGACGGCAAGTGCATTGGAGTTGGGGGAAGCTAGGTCCACAAGCCCTCGAGGCCCCAGGAAGCTGTGAGAGTGTGGGAGTGAATGTCCAAAGGAGACGTGGTAGAATCGGGCTGGGAGGGACCAAGCTGGGGGATGCAAATGGGCACCATGGGAGAGGGATGGAGGAGCATGCGCCAGAAAGGAAGTGGTGGGGAGGGGGCCCTAACAGAGGACAGATACAGCCTGGCTGAGGACTCCGGACTAGGACTCCACGAGGTTAGAAGAAGCATCTGAATCCCCAGGAGTGACATTCTGAGGACCCCCACCTGCCTGCCTGTCCATAAGGGAACCCCCAGCCCACGTTGTCTTTTCCCAGCACTGCATCTCGTGTTGTGATTCTTGTGGTCTCAGAAAGGAGGGAGGGTAGAGCTATAGCACGAAACTAAAGCCCAGCTCAGAGACACCAGCCCGGAGGCTTGAGCCCTTGTCTGGCCTCGCTGAGTGGCAGTGCAGCCCGGGCCCTGGGCAGAGTGGTGAGCGTAAGTCCCTGGGAAAGCAGCCCCAGCCGCAGCCCCTGCTCACCCACCTACATCCAGGGCAGGTGATCAGGGGCTGCCTGGCTTAGAGTGCCACTCGATAGCCCAGACAGGGGCCCAGCACGCAGCAAGACCTCCTGCTCAGCTTGCTAGCAGGAGGGGGAGCCAGTGGAGGTGTCAGGTGCACACAGCAGCCCAGGAAGTGGAGTTCTTCCTTGCCCATTCCCCACCATGCCCCGCCCCCAATCCCTCCTTCTCCCCTCAAAGGAGTGAGCAGGACGCAGCACTTACTTGAGGATATCCTTTTTGTTGAAGAAGGTGCAATCCTGCAGAGGGAAACATACACACATACACAGCGGTCGCATGGCCCTTGTCCCACCCTCCGACAAGCCTCCATGCCCTGGGGCCTCCCAGGCAGCTGGGAGGAACCCAAAGACAAGGAATTCTAGAAGGCTTGGAGAACATCTCTGGAAGCTTCTGAGCCCCCTGAGCTGGGCCAGGGGAATGCAGTACATGGGCTGAGGCCAGGGCTGCTGGTGAGTAGATTTTCACTGGGCTCCCGGTGATGGGGAGAGAAGGTGACAATGATCATATCATCTGAGTACCGCCATCCTGGTGTGTCCAGCAGGCTGACCCCTGCTCACAACTCAAAACAGCCTGTTCAAGGAGTCAGCCGCTGCGCTGCGGGTCTGTGAAGCCGCCACCACCGGCCACACAGCCAAGCCTCGAGGGAAGTGCCGTGTGAACTGCCCAAACGTGAAAATCATTCCCACTTTCCCACTTTTGCCCACCATGGTACTGAGAAGGCGGCCTCAGAGGCACACTGCAGTACCCAGAGCCCATGGGGTCTTCCGGGGGCCATATGCAGGGCCAGCTCTGCCAAGGGCAGAGCAGAAGTGCAGGCAGTCAAGCCGGCCCTGGATCAGCCGCTCCTCCCCCCCAGCCTCCCCACGCCGCCATTGGGCACCAGGAGAGTGACGCTGTACTTTGGGGAGGATCCCCCCCCTCCCCAGAGGCACACAACAGCTGGAATGCCACAGCAGCTGGGGGGATTTCTGGGCCCCATTGGTGTGTCCTGAGCCACCTGCTGCTTCCCATGGTACCTTGTCCTTGGAAACACAGGGACTTCTTGTAGGCTGGGGCCAGGGCAGGGAGAATGGCTGGCTTTGCCTTTGGCTATGGCTAGCAATTCTGTAGGGCCCAGGAAAGATTTAGCAGGATTCCCGCTATACACGTACACGCACACACACGCACACACACACACACACACACACACACAGCGCAGGCCTAGTAGGGTAAGACTCAGGTTAGTGCCCCGGGCGGCTGATTTCTCCACAGACCTCAATCACCTGCTGAAGAGGGCAGGTGTAGTGTCACAGAGTTAGATTCAGTCTCTACTTGTATTACTGGTGTCCCACATGGAGAGCCCGTTCAAGTCCTGGCTACTTCTCTTCCGATTTCAGCTGCCTGCTCAGGCGCCTGGGAAGGCAGCAGAAGATGCCACAAGCGCCTGGACTCTTGGTGCTCACCTGGGAGACCCCAAAAGAATTCCTGGCTCCTGGCTCTAGCCTGGCCCAACCCTAGCTGCTGCAGCCATTTGGTGAGACAAGCTCAGCAGAAAGATGATATGTCTCTGTATGTATCACTCTGCCTTTCATAATAAATGACAATAATTTCAAAAATTTAAATACTAAGGGCCAGTGCTGTGGCAGAGCCGGTCAAGCTGCCCCCAGCAATGCCGCATTTTCACATGGCCATTCTGGCTGCTCCACTTCCCATCCAGCTCCCTGCTTGTGGCCTGGGAAAGCAACAGAGGATGGCCCAAAGCCTTGGGACCCTGCACCCACATGGGAAACCCTGAAGAAGTTCTTGGCTTCAGATCAGCTCAGCTCCGGCCATTGCAGTCACTTGGGGAGTGAACCCGAAGATAGATCTTCCTCTCTTTCTCTCTCTGCCTCAGTCTTTCCAATAAACAAATGAATCTTTAATAAATACATAAATCTTAAAACCCTCTATCAGGTACAGGCAGTCTGGCCAAGCCTTCCAGCGGCAGACTTCCCTCACCTTGACCCTGATCTCAGACACGCCCCTCACAGCAGGTGCCTGGGCCAAAGGCACCAGCTTCCCCAGGCAGAGGGAGGGCCAAGCAGGAATGCTAATTCTCAGGCTCTGTCCTGAGAAACTCTGGGGAGGACACAAGAAATCTACATTTAAAAAAAATATATTTGAAAGAAGAGTTACAGAGAGAAGCAGAAGCACAGAGACATTTTCCATTCACTGGCTCACTCCCCAAATGATCACAACAGCTGGTGCGAGGCCTATCCAAAAGCCAGAAACCAGGAATTTCTTCTGGGTCTCCCTTATGGGTACAGGAACCCAAGCACCTGGATCATCCTCTGCTGCTTTCCCAGGCCATAAACAGGGAGCTGGATGGGAAGCAGAGACTAGAACTGGTACCCATATGGGATGCCTATGTTACAAGTGGAAGTTTAATCTACTACGCCATGGCACCAGCCCCAGATATCTGCATCTTTTTTTAACATCCATCATATGTATAACAGCTAAGTACAAACTTAACATCAAAATTTCTTTCTTTTTTTTAAGATTTATTTATTTTTATTGGAAAGCCAGATATACAGAGAGGAGGAGAGACAGAGAGGAAGATCTTCCATCCAAAGGTTCACTCCCTAGGCGGCTGCAATGGCTGGAGTTGAGCCTATCCGAAGCCAGAAGCCAGGAGCTCTTCCGGGTCTCTCACATGGGTGCAGGGTCCCAAGGCTTTGGGCCGTCCTCAACTGCTTTCTCAGGCCACAAGTAGGGAGCTAGATGGGAAGCGGGGCCACAGGGATTAGAACCAGTGCCCATATGGGATCCTGGTGCGTGCAAGGACTTTAACCACTACGCTATCACGCCGGGCCCAACATCAAAGTTTCTATACTGTTACATCTTGTTTAGCATTAACAGTCATAAATTGATAAAGTTTTTGGGGGGCAAGGAAATTAAGCCACTATTTAAACTTTGCAGTATATAGTGATTAAGCATGGTTTTATAGAACTTTGCATTTTCACAATTGAAGAATAGAAAAGTTTTAGGCAGGTGAGCAGGGAAATTCCCAACAACCCAGTGAGTGAGGAAGAATTTAACTCTACATCCCACCTAGTAAAGTCCAGGAGAAGCAAATAGGGAGCCTGACCAGTAAGCACAGGCTGAGCGATTATAGGCTAATTGGCCTTTTCCCTGGCTGTTCCAGCCTTTCTCTTCCTATATCTATGTCTCTCTCTGTCTATCTGAAAAGCCAGATGGGAAGCTTGATCAGTACAAGCTGCGTGATTATCAACTAGCTGACCTTTATTAGTCTCTGTCTATCTGAACTAATTTTGGGATTCACAAGCAACCCTGATGGTCGGTGTAAGAGAGGCCTGGGGCCCAAGGCTAGAACTAGATAAGGACCAGAGAAAGCTCCTCTCCTGAGTCCAAAATGAGATTTGTAAACCCTTTTATCTCTGAGTGCCACCCGGGGCTCCTGGCTGTAGTTCCGATGTCACCAGACCCTATGAGAGAGTTTGGGGCTGCTGTCATCCCCTGTGGGAAATCCAATAGGAAAAGAGTGACCTCAGAGTTCTCAGCCTCCGAGGGCATTCATATTCCCTGTGATCTCCTAGGCAGTCAGGATACAGTTCCCGGTGTCCATACTGACAATCCTCCATGAAGTATCCATACTTCTGTGGCGAATGCACTGGGGAGGCCTCCGGGGGTCTCCGGGACTAGGATACAGACCTCCTCTTGTCCTCCTGTTCCACCCTGAGATCCCCTCCTGCTCTGTACACACAACCTCCTTTTAAGAGGGTGTCAGGGTTGTTCTTGGATCCTACCACACATAAAAAAATCTGCATTTTAAAGGAACCTTCCAAAGATGCTAACCTCTGCCAAAGTGTGAGGTCGTCTGGTCTGGGGCAGCCACCTGGGGAGAGCTATTCAGGAAACGTGCCATACACCTGACCCTCAGCAGGCTCTCATTCAGGCATCAGTGATCTTGACAGCCACCTTGCATGTGGCCTAAGCTGCACACCACATCAGGTGATGCGTGACCATTCACCTGGCACACAGGCTTCTGAATAAGCCCATCACCAGCCCACAGGGGAAGCTGACATCTCCCCACTCCTGAGACAGGCCAACTGAGGCTTGGTGAAGTAGAACAGCCGTGCCCTGGGACTGAAGGTCACGCCTGAGCCCTTCCTGATCACAGCCCCCAACTGGCTCCGCTCCTCACTCCAGCTTCCTGCTGCTGCTCACCCAGGGAGGGAACAGGTGACAGCTCAAGTCCTGCTGCCCATGTGGGAGATGTGCACGCACCTGGTCCAGTCCCAGCTGTTGCGGGGCATTTTGGGAGTGAATCAGCAAATGGAAGATCTCTGTCTCTCCCTGTCCTCTTTCAAATCAATAAAATATATAAAGATGGGCCTGGCGTGGTGGCCTAGCAGATAAAGTCCTCACCTTGAACGCGCCGAGATCCCATATGGGCACCAGTTCTAATCCCAGCAGCTCTACTTCCCACCCAGCTCCCTGCTGGTGGCCTGGGAAAGCAGTAGAGGATGGCCCAAAGCTTTGGGACCCTGCACCAGCATGGGAGACCTGGAGGAAGTTCTTGGCTCCTGGCTTCTGGCTTCGGATAGGCACAGCACCAACCGTTGCAGTCATTTGGGGAGTGAATCATCGGACAGAAGATCTTCCTCTCTGTCTCTCCTCCTCTCTGTATATCTGACTGTCCAATAAAAATAAAATAAATCTTTAAAAAATAAATAAATAAAGATGACATAGCTTGCCAGCAGCACAGAGGAAGAAATCCTGCTGGCCACACACAGTCTTATTTAAACTTATAGGAAGAAGCCATCCTCCTTCCTGAGCCTCCCATCTGTAAAATGGAATAGTGGGGGCCAGTGCAGTGGTGTACCAAGCTGATCCTCCACCCTGCACGTGCTGGGATTGTGTATGGGCACTGATTTGTGTCCTGGCTACTCTACTTCCCATCCAGCTCCCTGCTTACGATCTGAAAAACCAGTAGAGGACAGCCCAAGTGTTTGGCCCCTGCCACCTATGTGGGAGACCCGGATGAAGCTCCAGGTTCCCAGCTATGGCCTGGCCACTGTGGCCATCTTGGAAGTGAACCAGCAGTGGAAGATTTATTTTTCACTGCCTCTTCCTCTCTTCAAATAAATATTTTTTTAAAAAGTTTTCAGAAAACAGAAATAAAAATCAGTTTGATTTAAAATTTTTTTAAAGTTTTAATTATTTATTATTGCAAAGTCAGATATACAGACAGGAGGAAAGACAGAAGGGAAGATCTTCCATCTGATGGTTCACTCCCCAAGTGGCCACAACAGCTGAAGCTGCACCAATCTGAAGCCAGTAGCTTGGAGCCTCTTCCGGATCTCCCACATGGGTGCAGGGTCCCAAGCCTTTGGGCCGTCCTCAACTGCTTTCCAGGCAACAAGCAGAGAGTTGGATGGGAAGTGGAGCAGCCAGGACATAAACCAATGCCCATAGGAGATGCTGGCACTTACACGTGGAGGGTTAGCCAGTTGTCCCAAAGTGCCAGCCACCATGCCTAATTTTTTCATCATACATATCTTCTACTTTCTTTCTGAAAATCTCTTGTATGCATGAATTTCAATCCTTTTGTTTTTGGCATCCAAATTAACTTCTAGGGTAGGCATTCAGTGTAGTGGTTAAGACACTGTTTGGAAAGTCTGCACAACACACCGAAGACCTTGTGTTGGGGTTCCAGATCCCCTCCATCCTGGTTCTAGTTTCCTTCAAGGAGCACCCTGGGAGGCAGCAGTGATGGCTCCAGCACTCAAATCCCTGACACCCTCAGGGGAGACCTGGATGGAGCTCCTAGCTTCCAGTGTTGGCCTGCCCCAGCCTGGGTTGCTCTAGACATTTGGGGAGTGAGCTGGCTATCTCTCAAAGAAAAATCGACTTAATCTTTTAACTGCATTTCCATGTACCCTCAGACTCCTCAGAGAGCAGAGGATCAGAGCCTCAGACACAAGTGCCAGCTCCAGGCAGGGTGGTGAGACGTGGCAGGGACCTGGTGGACCCTAGGACCCAGGCAGCTGGAAACAGGACAGGCCGTGTTTGCCCAGTGGAGAACCCTAGAAAGCTCCCCAGGTAGGACTTGAGCCCTGCTCCAAGCCTGCATGCGCTCTCTCCCCTGCCCTGGAGGCTTACCAAATCCTTACCTTTCTCCAAAGTTCTTGCAGGGGGCTCCCTGCTTCTGCATCCCACACTCCCCGGGAGCCAAGCTGTAGCCCTTAGCTGCTAGAGAGGAAGCAGCTGGCTGCCCAGCACAGCAGCCCTGCCTTGGTCACTGCCAGTGACACAGTGACAAGTGAAGTCCACAGGAGTCTCGGGGGCTCCACTCCACAGCCCAGACACACAGGATGGCTGGGTTGGTGGTCACTCCCTGTATAAAGGTGAGACCTAGAAAGACCTAGAAGGTGGGTCACACATAGCCTCAAATGCCCTGCTGCCACCTGAATTTCAGGAGTGCAATCTGGAGTTCCCTGCAATCCTACAGAAAACAGAACTTACTCACTCATTCTTTCATTCAACAACATCCTCCAAAGCCTGGGCAGAGGCCACCCAAGGAGGGAGCAAGAAAGAAAGCCCTAACCACTCTGAGCCCATCACACTTCCTGGGATTATGAATGCACCACAGGCACATGGGTACCTCCCAGATGAACGCTGGTGGGTCAGCGAGGGGAGACTGGGCCTGGGTGGAAGCAGATGAGGAGGGGAAGGAAAGACAGCAAGAGAACTGGCCAAGGCAGCATGTGCTCAGTTAGAAAAGGAGCTGCCCTGTCCTGCTGGAGGTCACTCCAGAAAGCGTGTGCAGGGTCACCCATTCCCTACTGCTGGCCAAGGGCTGGCTGGCTGGGGAGGCAGTGGAGGAGGGGAGTGGTCTTAGGTTTCACGGCTCTCATTTCTCCCTCCCCTGCCCCCACCAGCCTGGTGAAGGATGAGAACCCAACACTGGCATCAGCTCCAACGGGTAACCCAATGCCAGGCCAGTCTGAGTAGGAACTCAGGTTCCCCTCCCCCACAGCCTGCCTGGGCCTACCTCCAAGCTTTCTTCAAGCTGTCTCCACCCCTCAGGACCTTCAATACCTCCCTAAGGGTCCCAAGTGGACAACAGCCCACCCATTTTCCTGGAGCCTAGCCTGGGGTTGTCCTGGTTCTGACCCTTGCAGGCAAAGCAGAAGCCCCTCATCCGCTGGCCTCTGCTCCTGCCTACTGATGGCTGCGACTGGGACACGCTCTAACACCTGCTCCATACTGCGGATGTCAGCACCTGTCTCCTTGAGCTGTGGTACTCATCACCTACCTCCAGCCAAGCCAGCACCTCCGTTTCCTACGAGAGCCTCTGATTGGGCAAGGCTCTGCCTGACTCCCCAGCCTCAGTTCACTCCTCTGTAAAACAGAGTTTAATAATCGCCCTCCCCAAGCTGATGCAATGATAGGATGCAGAGAGGGCATCCACCACACACAGCAGGTGCTCCCTAAACAGGACCCTGTTCTTCCTCTTCCTGGGTGGTGGTGGGGAGAACTAGGAAATGATCAACAGCCAAGGCTTTGCAGAGGGGCAATTTAGCTTCGCTCACATTAGAGGCCTCACCCTGCCCACTTTCCTTTGCAAGGGTAAGCACTCATGAAGGCAATAGGCCACTATGGAGACCCTGGTGGGGGACCTTTCACCCAGGTGCCCAAGGGACCCATCACAGTCCCGTCCCCCTGTGCCTGGAGGCACACAGGAGAAGGGAAAGAAGCGTGGCAGAGCTTGGTGAGTTCAGAGGTCAGTGTTGCCAACTGTTCCCAGCGGGCTCGATACAGGGCTCAGGGCCAGCCTGGAGTCCCCTGGACTTCATCCTGCTACCACAGAGAATATTTTGCAAGGATGGGAGGCAATGGGGGGGGGGGGGAGGTAGGAGGTTTCAGGTTTGAGTAATTTGCCAGGAAGCCCTGAAAAGGGGGAGGTCGGGGTGGGTGGCAGGGCCAGGGCAGGGAAGCTCCTGGGCGTCCCGCTCCAGCTCTGTACATGCATCTGAGGGCTACAGCGATCCTGATCCTCGCAGTCCAGGAAGGATTTCAGCCCATTTCTGGGAATGGGGCAGGTGCCGACCAGGCGGGACCAGTGAGAATCGGGTACATCCCAGGGACAGGAAGTCAGACCAAGGCGCACCTTGGAGAATCTCCCAAAAGGGAAACAAACTCGGCAACGTGGGGGGAGGAGATCCCGGGGCCAAGGTCACGCTGAACGCCCAGGGAGGACTTGCACCGGTGCTGGGAGGCCTGGGCGTCCTGCGGGCGCGGCGGGCTGGCTCACCTGGTAGTTGTCCAACTGCTCCTCGGTGAAGATGGTCTGCTTGTTCCCCATGGTGGCTCCGTCCTCGCGCGCCCGCCCGGGCGCCGCCTCCCATCCGCGCCCGCCGGACCCCCGCTGCCCTCGCCGGCCCCGCGGCGGGCAGCGCGTCGCCCGGCGCCGGGACCCGCCGCCTTGCCCCGCCTCGGCCCGCGCGCGGCCCGCCGGCCGGTGGCGCGCGGGGTAGTCGGGCGCCGCGGAGACTCCGCCTCCCGTGCGCCCTGGGTCGCGCGCCCGTCGCGCGCCTGGGGCCCCGCCGCGGGGTGCGCTGGCGGGGAGGCACTCCCAGCGCGCGCGGCTGCCGCGGGGCGCCCCGCGCAGGGAAGGACCCGCTCAGCGCTTTCGATCGGCACCGGGGAAGGATCAGGGCGTGGCGCTGGGACCGTCCCCTGCTGGTGTGCCACGGGGCGAGCCTGCTCCCCCTGGCCCCGGGACCGTGGGGGTCAAAAGCTGGCATGTCCTCCTCTCATTTCGTGACCTTGGACAAGCTCATTCTCCTGGCCCAGTTCCTCCTGCTGAAAAGGAGGGAATTGGCCACCAGGGCCCAAAGCCAGAGTGACTGAGGCAGCGGATCCTGACCATCCTGACCGTGGTCCAGGACTAGGATTTGGCATGTCCAGAGAAGTGTGACAAGGGCCAGGGTGCCCGCTGGGGGCACGTGCCTTGTCCGGAATACGCCATCTATCTGGCCTAGTGGTTTACTTGTTGCTCCAGATGCTCCTATTTCCAAATGCGAATGCCTGGGTTCAGCGCTTGCCTCTGCTTCTGATCCAGCTTCCTGCTCTTGGGAAACAGCAGGTGATAGTGCAAGTCTGTGCCCCTGCCACCTCCTGGGCTTTGGCCTGGCCCAGCCCAGGCCGTTGTGGGCATTTGGGCAGTGGATTTACTCAGTGGACCAGCACATGGGAGATCTCTGTCTCAACTAGAGAATAAATATTTTTGACAAATACGGTGGTTTTTGTTTTTTGTTTTTTTTTTTTTTTTTGTCCTTCATTAGACTAGAATGTCTGGAACCCCAGAGGAGGCTCTGAGGCTCTGAGTGAGTGAGTGAGTGAAGGTTGGGGCTTGAAAAATCTACATTTCTAACAAATTTCCTACCTCCCACCATTACACCGTTGAAAATCTTCAAGCTGACTTTTGTGGGGTGCCTTGGGATTAAGTCGTTTTCTCTCCTTCCTGGAACTGTTGGCTGGAACTGAGAACAGCAGCCTCCAGCTACATAGGCCATGATGTTTAAGTCACAGGGGTCCTCGGAGACATTCAGTTGCTGTCCCATGGGCAGGAAGCAATTAAGTGACCCTGGGAGTTGTCCAGCAGCCTTCCGAGGCCACCTCAGCCTTGTTCATTCACAGTGGATGCATGCTGCAAGGCCCCATATTCCCAGAAATGCCAAGGATATGAGAGAGTTTGCAAGGCCTTCAGAAAGCTCCAGCTGTGCCTCCCTGCTCTCTCACATTGGTGCTGGGGAGCCCAGAGCCCTTCCTGGACCCCACAAAGGCATCCCTGTTCCCTTCTCAGATCCTGAGTACTCAGATCCTGTTCTGGCACATTCTTACTCAAGTGTTCACCTGCTGCTCATCTGCATACCCAAGTGTGGTAAGTGGAAAGCCAGAATCTCTATAAAGAGGCTGTGTTTTCAGGGTAAGGGAACCCCATCTGTAAAAGGAGATACATGAAAGCCACTTAGTTAGCTAGAAAGTTTCCTTTAAAATATCTTTGGAGGAGCCAGTGTGATGGCTTAACTGATTAATTATCCATCCGCAAGCGTCGACATTCCATCTGGTTCAAGCCTGGCTGCTCCACTTCCGATCCAGCTCCCTGCTTATGGCTTGGGAAACAGTGGAGAAGGCCCAAGTACTTAGGACCCTGTGCCTATATGGGAGACCCCGAGGAAGCTTTTGGCTCCTGGCTTAGGATTGGCTTAGCTCCAGCTATTGTAGTGTAGCATTTAGAGAGTGAACCAGCAGATGGAAGATCTCTGTCTCACTGTAAATCTTCCTTTCCAATAAAATAAATAAATAAATAATTTTTTAAAAAATCTTCTAAGTTGATCAACTATGTAAAACATCATCAAAATATTTTTTTAAAGATTTATTTATTTTTGTTGCAAAGTCAGATATACAGAGAGGAGAGATAGAGAGGAAGATCTTCCATCCTATGATTCACTCCCCAAGTGGCTGCAGTGGCCGGTGCTGTGTCAATCTGAAGCCAGGAGCCAGGAATTCCCTTTGGGTCTCCCACACAGGTCCAGGATTCCAAGGCTTTGGGCCAACCTCGACTGCTTTCCCAGGCCACAAGCAGGGAGCTTGTGGACGGGAAGTGGGGCTGCCAGGATTAGAACCGGTGCCCATTTGGGATCTCAGAGCGTTCAAGATAAGAACTTTAGCTGTTAGGTCACTGCTCTGAGCCCCCAAAAATAAAATTTAAAAGAAAATCCTCTGGGTGGGGGTGGGAGATGGGCATTTGACCTAGTGGTTAAGATGCCCAGATTCCACATTGGAATGCTTGGATTCAACTCGTAGCTTTCCCAGTGCCAGCTTTCTGTGGATGTGTGTCCTGGGAGGCAGCAGGTATTGCTCGAGTAGTTGGGTCCCTGCTGTCCATAGGGGAGAGACAAGGATTGGGTTCCCAGCTGCTGGCTCTGCCCCCTCAACCCCAAGTCCTCATCCAGTGCCAACATCTTGGGAGTGAACCAGCAGAAGGGAGCTCTGCTTGTCCCTCAAACCAATAAAGACAAGTCTACTTGTTTACAACAAAGTCCTGTTCGATGCCAGTTGTTACTGCCCTCATTAAGGCCCTCCAAATTAATTTATTTTCATTGAAATGGCAGATTTCCAGAGAGGAGAGACAGAAATCTTCCATGTGCTGATCTACTCTCCAAAAGTCCACAGTGGCTGGAGCTGAGCCAAAGCCAGGAACCAGGAGCTTCTGTGTCTCCCACACAGGTGTAAGGTCCCAATACTTTTGGGGCCATCCTCTCCTGCCTTCCCAGGTCACAAACAGGGAGTTGGATATGAAACAGAGCTGCCATGACACAAACCAGTGCTGAGCTAATCCAAAGCCAGGAGCCCAGAGCCTCTTCTGGGTCTTCCATGTGGGTGCAGGGTCCCAAGGCCGGCCATCTTTTACTGCTCTCCCAGGCCACAAGCTGGATGGGAAGTGGGCAGCCGGGATATGAACCAGCACCCTTACAGGATACTGGTGCTTGCAAGGTGAGAATTTAACCATTGAGCTATTGCACCAGACTCATGTTTTTATTTCTGACTCACACCTGGGAAGTGATTTCAAAAACTGGCAGGAAGACAGGAGTAAATGCAGCCAAGCACCCAGTGAGTGAATCAGACAGGAAGGAAACACCATTGGTTGGAGGAAGCATGCCAAATCCAAGTGCATCCTTCGCTCCATGGGGCTTCTCCTTAACCAGCTCCTGGCCTCTGTGATGCAATGTCATCAAACGCCAGTTGTTCTCTTAGTGTGACCTGGATGGTAGAGACATGGTGCCCTGGGCCCAAGATCTGGATGGTACCACCTAAAAACCAATGACATGAGGCCAGTGCAGTAAGATGGGCGAGGAGACAAGTGTCCCTGGCGCCCAGATCCTTCCCACATGGCAAGGTCCCAGGTGGCCTCCTATTTACTGCCAGGGAGGTGTGATAAAGGAAGAGAGAGTTGGACTGAAGGCTTGTCACACTGCTCCAGGGAAGGGTGCAATCCCAGCCTTTGATGCTGAATGGTGTGTGTGTGTGAATGAAGGTGTTCATAAGCAGACCTTATGCCGACCTTAGGACACAGACACTTCTACAAGGTCAAAGTACAAGGATGTTTTGGGGACACATTAATTTTTATTGTACAAGGAACATTCAGCAAGGAGAAAGGAAAGCAGCATGGCTCATAGCTGCTGAAAGGTGTTAATCAACAGATGGATGGTATCAACACACTGTCATTTTGGCATGCAGCAGAATTAATACAACTTGACAATACATGCCTACCGTGTCAGGGAAAAAAGCCCCAGGAACCCCATGAGCTGTATGGTTCCCTTCTTATTGACTGCCTGGGGGCAAATATGTAGACACAGAGTCCGTGGGCGGAGGTAGCAGCGGCTGGAGAGCGAGCTACAAGGAAGGCCTTTCAGGCATCTGGAACAGCAAGTGCCAAGGTGGGAGAAGGTGTGGCCGCTTCAAAGAACAGGTGTGCCTTGAAGGGGGAAGTGACAGTGAGAGGAGGCATGGTGGGACCACAGCAAGCAGGGACCTGTGGTTCACTGGCTTCGCATCAGCCTTTACCTCGAAAGAGACAGGCTACAAGCCAGCCAGTCATGGGCAGAGGCTGGCGGATCTGACTTAGGTTGCAGCAGAATTCTTCCAATGAGAGACGGAAGATGAACGGGGTGAGGGGAGAAGCTGTTGTAGATACAGGCCAGTGATGACCCCGACCTGAACCATAAGTGTCCCACTCAGCTCTGTGTCATACTGTTGCCCTGGGAGGCAAGATTTGGATTTGCCTGGGAGGGGGTATATGGGTGGGGTTGTGGGAGGAGGTTGGTTGCTTTAGTGCTGGCTCACACATAGAAAGAAGTTACAGCAGGGCATGGGTGACCTTCTACATTTTATTGTCCCCTCATTCCCAAACATGTAGCTATAAACATTTGCCAAGATCCTGAGGAGTCTTCGCAACGACCACTACTGTGGGTACATAGTGTTCACTCCTTTATGAGTCAGCAAGATCTTGTTTGCATTTCTTTCCAAGGGGACCAGTGCCTGTATAGTATCCTAAGCTTTCACCTAAGGCACTGGCATTCTACATGGACACCTGTTCAAGTTCCTGCTGCTCCACTTCCGATCCAGCTCTGCTTACAACCTGGGAAGGCAGCGGAGGATGGCTCAGGTCCTTGGGCCCCTGCACCTATGCGGGAGACCTGGAAGAAGCTCCTGGTTTCAGATCAACTCAGCTCCAGCCATTGTGGTCATTTGGAGAATGAACCAGCAGATGGAAGATCTCTCAGTCTCTCCTTCTCTCTGTAACTTTGTCTTTTTAAGTAAAATAGA